AGAGAGAGAGAGAGAGAGAGAGAGAGAGAGAGAGAGAGAGAGAGAGAGAGAGAGAGAGAGAGAGAGAGAGAGAGAGAGAGATCCGCACTTCCACAGCACCACAGGCAACCAACCGCAAGTCCCACCTCTAATTGCAGGGGCCACTTGGGATTCCATCAGTCACATCCTATGCCCAGGCTACCGTCCGCTCCCCAAACACAACGCACCCTGATTCTGGCTGTATGGAACCGGACAGATATAGCTTGTCTACATTCAGTATCAGGGTGCCTCATGTTGGGGGTAATGGGGGCAACGGGAGGAAGAGGGTAGCATTCCCGTTGCACTCCCGTTGCACATCTGGCCCCTTGGGCCTTGACCAAGTTGACCCCCATCCCAGCTCCAATGTACCGACCTGCTTCTTTTTTTTTTTTCCTTCTTTTTTTGTAAGGTTTTTATTTTGCACTCTACTCATCGTTATGTATCTTTCTCGATAGCAAATCCCTTCTGCTTCAGCTCAGCTTCTACCTCTTGGATTTCCTCACGGAAGACATTAATCAGATTTGCTTTTCTCAGTCTGCTGCACTCTTTGCCTGCCATTTTTAACTCCGTCGCTAGCTCCCCGTCTGCCATGTAGGTGGGGTTGATGTTCTTGAACCAATTAGGCCTTTTGCTTCCAACTTGAAAATCCTCTTCGCGCCATTTGGCTATGGTGGTCTGGTCCTTAACCATGCTGGCGTAGGTTCCATAATCGGCACAACGGTCTAAAACTCGTTGGCGCAGTTGAAAGCTGATTGGAGTGTGCATGTCCACAGGACACCACACGGGACGTGTCGCCTTGAAGTTGTTCAACATCGTGAATGGCTTTCCTGGGAGTCTGGGACACAGGCTCACGCGGCTCACACGGCTCTTGCTGGTCTTACACTGTTACACACACGCTGATAGAAGGGAAGCAAGTTCAACCAACCAATCAATGACGACATTCAATTCCGAAGTTAATTTTTTATTTATTAGTTAATCAATGCTCCTTGACCTTGACCAATCAGTTCACTCTCGCACTTTGCTCTGCGGAGGAAGCCGTAGACACACACACTGTCACACACAACCACACACCCACACACACACACACACAGAGAGAGAGAGAGAGAGAGAGAGAGAGAGAGAGAGAGAGAGAGAGAGAGAGAGAGAGAG